GGGGACACCGTCTTGTCTTCGCCATAATGTAACGGGTCACGATAGACAGGAATGCATTTTGGTTCGGTTTAGATCAAGGTTTATCCAGTTTGCAGCTGCAGCACTGAGCACAGGCGCCAACACAATCTGTGCCCAAGATGCATATTTCCATGTGATTTGCAGACTGCATCCGACAACATCCATACTATGAAAAATGCACATTCAAATGCATAAATTTGGAAAAATGCATACGCACACATTTTAATCAATGGTAGACGCACGCGGACATTTCAAAGATGTGAAAAGCTGATGCATGGAAAACCATACCTGAATGCATGCATGCTGTTTCGTGAAGAAAGAAAAAAAGAACACACACAATCTCATAAGGACTTGAATGAGAATAAACTTTGAGATGGAACATGGAAAACTGGTCAACTCGAGTTTGGCTGACTCACACGTCCAGCCACTGAGAACTCTCTCCACATCTGCTTGATCCCCATTTAATAAGAATGTAAGAAAAGCCCTGCTAGATCTGAGAAAGGGGCATCTGACCTAGTGTTTTGCCTCTGGCAGTGGTCAGCCAAATTGACCTGGGAAGCCCACAGACTGGGCACAGGGCTCCTTCAAGAACCGAAACTATCCATGAATAAGGCCACATCAGGCCACTGATCTTGCTGCATCAGGCTGGGGGACTGAGCACTGGGCCCAGTACTGCTCTGTGGGGCATGCTCAGGAAGTCCACACAAAGGGCAGAAAGCGAATCTTCAGGCACACTCTTTGGCCCCCAGCATTTGCTACCCCAAGTGTGAAAGCCCCAAGATAGAGGTGGAGAGGATGTTCTGCGGGGGGGGGGGGGTGAACTGGAACCCTTGAAAGTTCACTCTTGGCTGCTTTGTGTGTTTATTGTACCCACAGGAATATTCTCATGAAAAGCAAGGGACAAACAAATCTGTTGATCTAGGTTGCTCCCTGTTTCTCATTTTCCAGCTCGGAAGTGCATCCAGCCATGTTTTCTCATAGCTTTGTGTGTGTGTGTGTGTGTGTGTGTGTGTGTGTGTGTGTGTGTGTTGCTTTGAGAATATATATATAGTTTGAGAAATACTCATACACAGCTTGGCTAATTCAATGCTTTTCTGGCAAGCAGTTTCCCCAGCCAGAATGCATTTCTGCACGGTGTTTTCACCCGCGGAACAACTGCTTGGCTTTCCCACTGCCCATGTTTTCTGAATGTGAAGCCTTTGACTGGAAAACCTGCATTGCAAAATCTGGACAAGTGTGAGCCCAACAACCGACTGCAATTTTGGTTCTTGTGTTGGTAGGTTTGCATTAAAACTAAGGAGCAAATGTATTTCTCCCTTCTCCCACTGCCAAACTATGCTGCCTCTCAACACTGAGGCTGGATAAATCGGGGCGAAGAACCTATTTCAGCACAAGGGCCAGATTCCATTTCAGAGCTGCCTTCAGGGGCTGCAATACCTTTGATCCAGGCAAAGGGCTGGATCAAAGGCACCTGCATGTTTTTGCTTAAAGCTCTTGCTGCTGGCAACTAAACTTTAGGAGAGACGTTTCTACTTTTTAGAATGTGGAAAATCCTGAGCAAAAGCCGGAATGCCCTGAAGAGCAGAAAGGGGCTCAGGGCTGGGGAGGGGGCTGTGGCCTCCTGTGGAAACCTAGAGGGCTGGGGGCCAAATTGGGCCCCAGAACGGAGACTCTGCCCAAGGGGCAGATCGGCCTCTGAATCAGAATCGGCCTGTCTGCCTTTGCATGCCATTTAGGCCAGGGAACTGCCCCCATTTCTTTAGGCGGTGAATTCTGTAACAGCGATTTCTAACCAGAGTTCTCAGTTGGGCCATTTTTAGTGACTGACCCCTGATTGTTACCATATGCAGGGGAACAAAGACCATGCTCCACGGCATCTCTCCCTCTGCCCCTCCACAGCCCTGGAATCTGAGAATTCCTCACCGGAGTCCCTCTGGATAGCAGCTCCCATCTTCTCCACCCAATAGGGCAGGGGATGATGGGTGTTGTAGCATGGCCAGATGCAAAGCAGAGGAAGGGTGATGTGGCGGAGGCAGAAAGGAGCAAGGAAATGCTCAACGGATGCGATCCAGTTTGGGCTTCTCTGAGTCTGACCAGCAACTTCTCCGGCAGTTTGGTTTTCTCCGAGTCATATCAATCTTGAGGCTTATGGACCATTTTTTAACCTTCCTGAATTTCACAAGCCATGTGTGCACATGTGGAAGTGCCCACACCCATATTTTCAGAAATGCACATTTGTGCAAATGCAAATCTTCTAACGCAGACGGAAGGACAGGACACTGAGCGGGCAAATCCAATCCCATCCAATACATGCATGGCAGGACGAAGGAGCCTGGCGATCCACAAAGCACAGACAGATTTAACAAATCTCCAGCCAGGCAGCCCCTGATCAAACTTTTGTGTGTGTGTTTGCATGTGGGAGGCATTTTCCGACCCCAAAAGGAAATTCCAGGAGGAAGAGACCATGAAACAAGATTGGCACTTCCTGGCTGGAAATCCAGTGTCTTGATTATTCTGGCAGGGCCTCTGTGTGTGTGTGAGTGTGTGTGAAGGGGGATGAGGGAAGGTGCTCTGAAACTCCACCTTCTCTCCAGCACAGCAAGCTCTGTGTTTGTCTTGGCTGGGACCAGGCGAGGTGGTGTGTAGACACAGCTGGGAGGTTTGTTTCATCTGCAACTCTGTGCCGCGCCAAAGCTGTTCACCGCAGGCTTTGCAGAAAAAGAATCCAGGAAGAAGCAGAGTGTGGGTGCGTGGGTGCCTGAGTGCGAGCAGGATTTGGCTGTGCAAGAATATATGGCAATTGCTGAAGGCAGGAGGTGACTGGAGGGGCGAAAGAAACACGTTGCATCCTCACTGAGTCTTACGGAAACCCACTGAAATCAGTGAAACTTCAGCTAGTTGTGACGAACTCAGTTCCACGGATTTCTGTGAGAGATGGCTACTCAGAGCCAGCTCCTATCAACCAGTTTCAAACTGGTTTACCATGGTGACTTGGAATTCTCTCTCTCTGTCTGGCTCTCTCTCTTTTATTTGTATTTGCATTGTGTTAAGGATCATCAAATCTCTATAAACCCACCTTTAAAATATCAGACCACATTTAGAATGTTACTATTAAAATCGCATTTAACATATATCAACACTACTGTCAAAATATATTATAGTCCCTTGGCCTTCAAAGCCCCTATTTTGCAATCACAGGATTAAGGAGCTGGGACCCCAGTAAATTCTGCACCCTGCATTCAATAAGTGGAAGCCACAGGGATACTCTTAAGAAAGAGTTCCAATAAGAATGAGGATAACAATAAATATTTCTATCACCCATTGTTGCTTTGCTTTTCACAGCAGAACCCCTTTGCACGTCCGCTCTGAAGTCAGTCCCACGAGAGTCCGTGGGGCTTTTGCCGGGTAAGTGCTGCATCCTTCATGCATTTCCTCCCCTGGGCTTGCTTTCCCCTCTGGCGCTTTCCTCTGTATCAGGCTTTATTCATAGCTCTTACCTTGCCCTTGCACACCATGGGCAGCAGGCGTAAAACTGATTGCAGATGGGGGGCATTTTTTAGCCGAGTCCCATTTCAGAAAAGCTCCCCAGGTCTGGATCTCAGCCATGGGTGGGCTGAGAAAAGGGGAGGGGCCAGAGGAAAAGAGGGAGGGGCCACACAACCAAATGCTGGCATGATGCAGATTCAGGCTCTTTTGGGCAGTAACTAAGCCTTGGGAGAGGGAATTCAGCCTTGCAGCATGCTGAGAAAATACTGCACAAAAGCCCAGCAAGTGTTGAATGATCAGTGCTTGGGGGAAGGTGGGTGGAGCCCAGAGAAAGAGGCGTGGCTGACAGAGAAGCCCCCTCTGCAGCCCTGCTCTAGAGTAACAGCTCCCATATAGAATCTCTCACCAAGGTGCTTCTGATCCTTCCCAGATGGTCCGGCTGCACATTGGTGGAGCCCTAAAAATGCTATTCTTATCCATTCAATGTAGGAATTGCTTGCCACTGCAAAAAGCAGACTGAATGCACACAAGTGCAGAAATTTATAAATCATAAAATTTATAAATCATAAAAACTCATGCTGAAATCAGTACAAGCCTGGGCAATAAAAATAGGCACAGGAGATATAATCTAAAACTAGCACGGTATCAGCCAGCTCATCCATGGCATGCGACTTGCAGCTCCCACCCAGCCACAGCCGGTCACCCACAACAGCCAGGTCAGAAGTAATCCCAGATGCTTGGGAAAGTGAATGCAGCTTCTGCTTGCCTCAGAAAGACAATGACATCCATGCCAGGCAAGCTTCCATGGGCAGAATGATTCATAAACACGGGGCTAACACAGAAAAGTCCATTCCCAAACTGAGTTTCTCCCAGAAGCTGCCCTTGCGACATGGCAGAGTAACAGAGCGAGTGCCGCTCCACAGCACATCAGGGGACCAAGTCACAGAGGGCGAAATCAAGACAAAAATGGAGAGTTCTGGCATGGATCAGCACCATGCGCCCCGTCGCGGGACTCTCCATAGATGGAGAAGGGACACTCCCATTGCCTCTGGAATGAAGGATGCTAGAAATCAATTCCAACTAAGTTTCCTGGATCACCAGGTGCTTGGCATTCCACTGACAGAATTAGGTTTTGTAAAAGTATGTGTGTGTACATTTGCATCAACTTGGAGTTGTGCAAATTCACGGTCCTAAAAATGCTCATTTCCCCCTGCCCCCATGCATATTTTCACACTTTAGCCTATGGGCGAAATGCACATGATTACTTGCCCATTTTTAAAAACAGGTGCATTTTTCTACAAGTAATTTGCATAAAAGCATGTCTCTCTTTTAATGGCCCCCCAGTCTGTGGAAGTTGTGCGACTTGGGAAATGCTGGTCCACTGTGGGATCCCCTCCTGAATTCTAAGAAATGCAAGCTCGCTGGAGTCTGTGGCAGGTTTCTCCAACACCAAGATGTGCAACGTGGCAGCAAAGGGCAGGCCAGATCCTACCTACCTCTCTCGCACTGCGGTCCCGTGAAGCCATAAACGCAGGCACAGCGGTTGGGTCCAATGCACCGGCCCCCGTTTTGGCAGCCGCTTTCGCACACAGCTGTGTGAGGAGCAGAGAAAGAGGGATCAGGGAGCCAAGAAAGGCCGTCAGGAAATGCAGCTTCACTCTGGGGAAAACGGGAGGGGAGCCACGCTCTCCGTTTCTCATTCATGCAGTTCAGGGCCTCTGACCACTAGCAGCAAAAAGGGGCAGGACGTGGCTGGCGAGAAGCCACCAAATGGCAGCAGAAATCAGGGCAAAACGAGAAAAGAGCTGAGAGGTGCAGCGGTTGGTGTATCTCCCCCACGGTGCCCTCCACACATTTTGCGTGAGGATGTCCATCGTTCCCTGCCAGAGGAGGGGAAGAGGCGTCCCCAACACCTGGAGGGACCTGGTTGGACTGTCCGATACAGAAGCTCGCTGGCTGACCTTGCAGGGTTGCTGTGAGGATAAAATGGGGCAAGGGGAGAACTGTGACATATAAATGTATGAAAGAATGAAGAGGAGCAGGAGGGGCCCTTGTTCTGGGGTGACTTAGCACCCAATTCCTTCCGCAAACTGCACAGCTCTTACTGGAGTTGCTGTTGCAACCCACTTGGCAGTTGATCAACTGGGGTTAGGGGGGGCAGTCAGCCTTCTTCAGCCTGGGCCCCTACAGAGGTACAGAACTACAATGCCCATCACCCCCAACCAGCATGGCCAATGGCTCTCCAGTGTTGTAATCAGATGCATCTGCCAGGCTGGGTTAAAGAAACCAAGTACAAAAATCATAATTTCTTTGGAAAGGCAGCAAGAAAGACATACAATTGAACATGCAACATAGGGTGCTAGAATTTCTCAACCTACTCCTGAGGCTGCCTTGCACACATGCTTCCACACAGCCTGAAATCCCTGATAAACTTGGAATTCTGCCTGATTGTGCAAGCTAAGCAGGGTTGGGCCTGGCTGAAATCTGGATGGGTGGCTTAAATGCTCTGGACTGCCCAGGAAACTTCAGCTCCAGGCTGTATAGAAATATAATGAGCAATATTAATAATGCTGCTTGCAGTGCAAGTTTGCTTCCATGTACATGGCAAATGTGCTTTGTGGATTTTGCATATTTTACACAACTAATGATGTTGTTTGTGCAAAGAAGCCACTAGTGTTCCCAAGTGTTCATGGATCTAATCTCAGCTTGGCTCACTTCCAGGAGTCTGGCCTACCTGTAGGCACCTGAAAGGCTGGGGATCCACAAAATCTGCATGTGCTGACAGAGACTAAGGAATGCAACTTTGCAGATAATCAGCAGGCTGCATTTAAATTCCACAGGATATGTAAAATTCCTCCAGCCAATTCATTCCACATCTTGAACATCTTCCACAGAATAAAATCCTTTGCTTCTTTCGCCCCCTGCACCAAACCATCCCGAACCATTGAAGAGAGAAGGCAAAAAGCTTTCTCTTATGCTTACCTCTTAAAAAATGACATGGGGATCTACCCCCCCTCCACTACTTACCCTCTTCTCCCCAGCTGCAACTCCTTCCCAAGAAATTAAAACTCTGGCAATTAAGCTTAGAAATGAACCTTCTGCTGGCACCGCTGAACACGCAGGGCTCTGGGGAATAGATCAGGGGCCAGAGAAACCTTTGGGGGGCTAAGACCTCCGATGTGGGGGCACACGAGGCAGAGTTTCCTGAGGCCTAGCAATCCCTTCATCAAACTCACGTTGGCCACAATAGGTCCCCGTGTATCCCTTCTGGCAGAGACAGGCTTCCTCACTGCAGCTTCCGCCGTGCATGCACCGCACGGTGCAGGACTGAACTGGAGGAGGAAGGAGGAGAAGGGTTACAGGGAAGGCAGCAACCGGAGCCAAGCCGGCTGGCATGCGGCCACACGTGCGTGGGCTGGGCCTCCTGGGAAACACCCCGCCCCACCTGGACCAAGCGGACCAGTGAGAGAGGGAGCTGGTCAGTTTGGGATGAGGAAGGAGGCGTTTCTCCGCCAAGGAGCAAGTAACCTCTGGAACTCACTGCCACAAGATGCGTAGAAGCAGGTGTAAGCATTTCTATTTACTGGATCCATGTATTTCATCAATAAAGGGATTGTGCATTCTGAAAAATCCACTCCAACTGTCTGGGGACTATCCAGTGTCTCCCATCAACAAACAAGGGTTTTTTTGAAGCATGTACCAGGATTTTACCCCATGTGTACAAATGTGCACAAGTGCATGTGCACAGTTGGGTTAGCGCATGTTTGCGCAAGTGCAACTTTTCACAAATTTCCCCTCCCACAGAAGCTGAAATCCAAACTCTTTTCTAGCTGAATTTCGCCAGCCTCCCGAGTCCCGGGAAGAACCCCTTCACACACTGTCCGCTCGCGTCCTTCGCAAGTCTCTGCCTACCAAAAGACAGTGACCTTCCCCAGCCTGGTGTCTGCCAGATGGCCTGAACTACAACTCCCAGCATTCCTGGCCATTCACTGTGTTGCCTGGGGCTGTCAGCAGCTGAAGTCCAAAAGATACAGAGGGCGCCAGGTTGGGAAAGGCTCGGGTGGATGGCACAAACGCAGGGGTCACAATTCAGCAATACCAGAGTCATGCAGGACGGTCCCCAGTTCCAGCTTCCTGTTTAGCTCGATCTTTGATTCAGAACCAGGAGGACCAGAACCTTGCCTTATTTTTCCAGTTAGCAGGCTGCAGCTTAGGGATGACACCATGTTGCACCACCCAAAGTCCCATGCGCCTATTGACGTGAGCAGGCTGTTCCTTAGACGGGAGGGTCTGCGCATGAGTCCACCCTCTTTCAACCTGCAACCTGCACTCCACCTGGACTTGGCTAATGGTTAAACCATTTGCAGGATGGCTGACCAGAAATTGTGGGGAGGGGTATATGCTGCGGAGAAGCCAGATTATCTGGCCGGCAGAGCACTTGCTGAGGTGGGGGTGGGGGTGGACAGAGTTCCTGCTTCTTGAAATGCAATTATGCAACGACCGAGCTGGATGGGCCCAAGGAAGGGGCCAGCCCCCTCCCCCTTCTGCCTCCTGGCCGGTTTCTGTGTGATTTCCCCGCTGAAATGGCTCTCTCCAGAGGCAGCTGGGCAAGAGCCCCATCCCTGCTCTGCAGACCCGCCTGGCCGGAGCAGCCCCAGATGCTCAGTGCCCTCACGCATCCCCCAGCCCTGCTCCCCCCTTGGCAGGGCCCTCTGGAATGTGGGAAATGTGACTGTCTGCCCACCCCCCCTTTGCACGCTCGAATGCTTCACATTACTGGAAGATTGCGAACATCTGGGCCCTCCATCAGACGGAAACAGAGGAGTTTCAGCCACCCATGGACTGCGGAGAGGATGGTGTGCGCAGGGCTATTGCTGCAGGGGGGTCGGTTGGAGGTCGGGGTCTGGTTATTTCTAAGGCCCTGCCCACCCCCCCACCCCCAGGGTCTGGAAAGAATTCCTGATGAGTTCCAGAGCCTGGAATGTGAGGAGATTCTACCTTGCTGCACACGCGCTGGAGCTGACTTGCCACGGTGAGAGGTGAGCCTGCTCGTGGGCCAACATCAGTAAGATTCGTGTATTTATTTCAAACTGCCAATGGCTTTTGTGCAAAATGGCACCCAGAAAGCACCCAACTTGTGCACTATTTGCACTAGAGCAGTGTGGTTTTCAGGTGACTTACAACTCTAGTGCAATTCGTGCCTTCACTCAGAGAGAAAAATGCTTTTTGAGCATCGGGAAATGAAAGCTGCAGTCACTTACGGAATGCCTACTAAGCCCTGCTGAACTCGGTGGGTTTGATACTGGACTGTGGACTGGCCACAGCCTTCCATGCTTGGGGTGAAGGGCGAAGGCAGCTGCTTCTGAACCATTCTGAGAGACCCAAGTTGCTCCCCCACTGAGAAGGAAAGCCTTTGAAGGGCACCCAGATGGAGGGGACAAGATGCATGGGGCCAAAGCCTCCACATGGAGGAGCTCCCTAAAGTGCCTTGGCGGAGACACATGGCCACCCAGATGGAGGGAGCAGTCTACATCCACCCTGGCTCAGCTTTGCACATTTCGTGTTTTATCTGTTTCATATATTTAGATCCTGCCTTTGGCTTCCTCTTATGAGGCACCTTACATGCCCCCCTTCTTCCCTTTTATCCTCACAACAACCCTGCAAGGCAGAATAGGCTGAGAGCCGGTCGCTGGCCCAACTCCCCCAAAGACCTTCATAGCCGGGCGTGGATTTCAACCTGGATCTCCCAAGCCCCAGTTCAGCACTCTGACCAAACTGCTATGCTGGGCCCCAGCCTAAACAGGATGCCACCCTTGTTACACATTAAATGAATTTCCTGGGATATTTATTGTGCTTATATTCCACCTTTGCTCCTGCTAGAAACTCAAGGCCGCTTACAAACTCTTCCTTTCTCTTATACTTTCACAAAACCTTGGTGATGAAGGTTAGGCTGAGAGTCAGCAACTGACCCAAAGGCGTCGTGGCTGAGTGAGGACTGGCATCGAGATTTTCCCAGTCACCATTCAACATGCTAACCACAAGGCCACAGTGCTCTCAGTGCTATTAATACCGACGGCGACGACGATGATGAATCAATTAAATCGTCCATCCAGAACATCAAAACAAGAAGCGCATGGCTACAACCTCAGGCCCGCCCCAGGCCACCTGGAAAGGAGTCTGCCCCACACAAGCCTCCCCCCAGGGCTCTCTCACCTCCTCCAGAGCCACAGTTTGGGGACAGCTGCCCATTGGAGCAGGTGCACATATTCGGCCGTGAGCAGAATCCGTCGCCACAAGAGTTCCGGCAAATGGCTGTCAGGAGAGAACAGGAGGCGACTGAGAGAGGAGTTTTCCTCTGGTTACCGTAACCTGTTGCACGCCATGTGTTCTGCACCACCATCCCAGTTGTCCGATCATTGGCCATGCTGGCTGGGGCTGATGGAGCTGAACTCCGCCTGCCTTAACATTGCAGGTCAAAATTGCCCAGTGCATTTTCTGCCCAGACTGATTAGAAGTGGAGCTGGTTTCTTTTGCAGCCCCGTGTTTCTTCAGGATGTAACCTCCAAAACTATTCTCAATAGCTCAGGGTATGGCGGTGCAAAAGATGGAGAGTTTGTGTGTACTGCTCACTGCCGTTATTGGGAAAGACGCCAAACATCATGGTGCTTCCGGCAGCTGGAGCAACCTCCGTAAACTTCTGGGCATCCATTAAAATAAATCTGCAAGCTTCTGCCCATGCAGCTGCTGAAAATAGTTTGCTGAAAGCGCTACTGGTTTGCCTACTTTCCAGTGTCTTCCGAATCCTGGTCTGGTTGTGAGGACGGTGCGTGCTTGAGAGGAAGGATTGGAAGGGCTCGGTTGTTTAGCTTGAAGAAGTGGCATGGCACTGGAGTCAGCAAAACTCCCAGAGGGATGCGTAAAGGGGTGGGAATCTTTTGGATTCCCTGGGCTCCAGCCCCCTCTGTGGCAGCCCTGAATGCATGTTGTTGGCAAGCATGTCCGGCATTCACAGGGCGCTGGCCAGGAATGGAGTCCTGGGCAACCCTCGTGCAAGCAGCATCCCTCTCCTGGTGCAGGAGGCAGTGACCAGTTGCGTAACCTTCATTCTGAAAACACACCCAGGCTTCCTCTTGGCTCAGCCCACGTTAGAAATGGGTCGAGCAGAAGAGGAAGTCCAGGATTGCTAGAGGAGCAAATTCTGCTGGGAGACCTGAGAGAGTAGATTCTCCTTCACCCACCTGCCTGCTCCCTGCAGTCCCTGGATGGCATGGCCCTGCTAGGTTTTGGTGCCCCCTGGAAGCATCTTCCTTTCAAGAAGCCTTCCTGAACTAATCAGCCACAGTTTTATTGATTCTGTTTTTAACAAGTGGTTTTATTCTAGTATCTTTCTTATCTTGCCAGCATTCATGGCTCCATACCAGAATTTGGCAAGGCAAATGAAATAACAAAACGGCATTAAGCGAAAACACAGCAGTCTTTGAATATTGTGGGTTGGGGGAATCATGGAGAAGAGGGAGTCGCTGTCCTTGCTCTAATGGGCAGGCTGGAAATTACACTGTGCAGAAACTTGGGGAAACTGATTGTGGCTGACCCCGGGGCCCGTTCCGTGATGCCTCTGGCCATGGCGGATTGTGGCTTACCCCAGGGCTTCTATTCCCTTGGGGGTGGGGGACCAAATTGAGCAGCCCCTCAGCAGGCCAGAGCCCCTTTCTGTGGGATCTTTCGGTGGGGCCTGGCTTTGAGGTGTCCTCCGCTTCCAAACGTGCCCAATTCTGAAGGGCCTGGCTACTGGCAGGAAGACCTCGCAGCTAAAATAATAAGGTGGGGGTTTTGTAGTTTGGCCCTGCGCCCAAGAGCATTGTGGGGTGCTGGCTGGAGTGTCCCCCCCAGCCCCCCCCACAGATGCCTGTGTTCCCACGTGCTGGTGAAATGGCTCACAGTTGGCGCAACCCATGTGCGTCTGGACAGAGAGAAATCGTGCACCTGCCGGGACTGCAACTCTCCCGAGAAGAACTTGTGCCGTCACTGTTATTTAGATCACCTTACGCTGATTTCCTGCCTTTTTTCCCCTTGTGAGGAACCAAAGCTACATACATACTCCATTTTATCCTCACAACAACAACCCTGTAAGGTGGGCTAGCCTGAGAGTCTGGGATGGGTCTAAAGTCTACCAGGGAGCAAGCGTGGATCTTCCTGGTTTTCAGCCCAGCATTCTTGCCACCATGTGAAACCAAATCCAATGATGTCCTTTATCCTCCAGGTTTTTTTAATATGCCCACATATATGACAAATGCAGAGAAGACGAGAACTAACAGAATAGTTCCATTAGTAATACTGCATATTGCTCTAGCCAAAATTCAGATTTTTAAAAATTGAACCCCACAAGATCTGTCAGTGACAAGTCCAGGAAATTTCTAAGATCCAGGAAGAAATTTGGAGGGAGAATAGTCTTCAATGCTCATAGGGTTTAGTAAGCACCAGCAGCCCAGAGAAATGCTGAAATAGCAGTTTGCAATTACAGTGGAGGGATCCCTGAATAATTACAGACCTGGACGTAAGCAATCCCATAATAAGAGTCAGTGTAGCCTAGTAGTTAGAGCACTGGACTAGGACTCAGCAGATTTGGGCTGGCCTGAGTGACTGGGGCCAATCACTGACTTTCAGCCTACCTTACAGGGTGCTTGTGAAGATAAAACCTCTGTTTGCAGAATGACACCACAAATGGAAATGCAGGCATCTCACCCCCTTCCTAGGGCCCTCCACTGCCCTGGTCATACTCACGGACAATGCACTGGTTCCCACCAGGAAGGGTCTTCCATCCAGGACAGCAGTATGAGTGAAACCGGGATCCACAGACGTTTGGCCTGGAATTCAACACAGAAACCTAAATGTGCCTCGTATCTCATACCTCCCTCGTATGTAAAGTCCCTTGTATTTCATACTTCCTTTAGCGTTGCTCTGTCCAGCCGCAAACCAGCCTGGTACTTGGTTCTAATCTGCCCGGAATGTTGTGGCTCTTACCTTTAGGACTGGGGAGCAGCATCAATTCACACAGCTGTGTTGGAATGACCTGGCCCCACCATGGAACCTCCCCGCCATGGGCAGCCCTCCTTCTCTGCTCAGTCTGGGGTATTCCGTGGCATGCAGGATCCCCTTCCGAGCACTTTTTGTACCCCAAAAGTCATTTATGCTGTGAGGAGGCCGACTAGCCATCCAGTCCTCAGTGCTCTTCCAGGCAGAGGGCTGCGTCTGCTGGTGCAGTGCAGGGGACTGAAGGGAAGAGGGACGCCCCTGAGACTGATAGCAGCAGGAAACCCAGTGAATTCAACCTGCCGAGTTTGGACCGGCTATAGGCAATGGATTAGCTAGCGAAAGCGGTTCTAGCAGGTTTCCTTCGGGGCAAGTTGCAAGGATTCCAAGGGGGGACTTCTCCCCTCCCCTAAACAGATACGTTGGGGTGTCAGCCCCCAGTGCTGGAGGGCTGCATGCTGCCTGTGGAAACACATCCGATCTGTTAACACGCTGTGCTAGAAATGTTGAGGCTTCTTGGAAAAACAGAAAGGAAGGGGAAAACCTCATCCCATCCAAGTGTACAGAATATCTGTATGGCGCAAATGGGTTTGAGTTCGTTGGAAGTTGTGTGAGCCTGGCGAGAAATGGGATGCATGCATCGCAGGGCCCTGGCGCTCGCCCGAAGCACTCCCTCGCTTTCCCGTCTGCGCTCTCTAGGCTGCAGGAGCACCCGGGAAGGCGTGTGCGAGCCCGAGAATGTGCACAGAGCTCTGCCAGCATCAGACACTGGCGGGATGCAGCCGGTGGGGCACCAGGGCCAGGCTGTGGGGCCGAAGCCTGGGGCCCTCCTGCCCCCAGTGGACCACCAAGAGAGCAGAACTGGATGGAATCCATGACAAACGAACCCGGACAGAATCCATGCAAAGGAAAAAGGGTTGTAAAGTATGGGATGGCACTGCGGGGGCTGCCGGGGTGGGGAGTTTGGAGAAAATCAAGGTTTGTGGTGTACTTTGCAGCCGCAGCCAACTGTTGCCTCCAGCCCCCCTGCCCCCCCTCACATGCATTTTGCATCCGAGGACTAAAATTACCTGGCTACGCCCCGCCGCACAGCCTTCCTCTGTTTGGATTCTTTCCTTTGATCTCACTTTTTTCCCTTCCCCCACCCACCACTTCTTCTCTTTCACCATCCTCTGATCTTTGCAGTCAGTGCAAATGCACACAGCCGCCGGACAAGAGGCAGGCAGGGCAGGGGGACCCTCTAGAACAAGGGCCTTCCTGGCTGTGGGGGCGGAAAAAGCCCCTGTGATTCACTGCTGTTCCCTCTGCCCCGAGGGCTGCAAAGCAGAATTCAGTCACCCTTCAGAAAGAAGAGCCTCCATCGAAAGGGCTGAGCTATGGCATGGCGACAAGCTTGTTTCTGTTGGTTTTGCACTACATCGGCTCAAAAGAGAGCCGGTATGGGCTGGTGGTGCCCTCCCCATTAGAACTGCCTAGTGGTTAGAGTACTGGACTGTGACTTAGGAAACCCAGGTTCTACTCCCACAGTTCTACTCCACAGAGCCCTCTGAGTGATTTGGGGCTAGTCATTGTCTTTCTGCCTAACCTTCCTTCCAGGGTTTTTGTGAGGATAAAATGGAGAGATGGCACATCATGCACACTGGCGCCACACAGGTACAAAGGAGGTATATAAATATAAATTTATATACAGAAATAAAGAAACTGAGAGGAAGCTTTTTTATTTTTGACCTTCCTGACTATGGATGTCAAATCAGCAAAGGAAACATGAGCGCATGTGAAACCATTGGGACTGGACTAGACGGTCCCCGGAGTCTTCGCTGACTATGAAATGCTACGATTCTAGCGATCTGGGGGCCTCAGAGGGGCTGGAGAGTCTTTTGTGCGGGAGAGGTGGAAACGTGCAGAATGGGCAACGCAGACGCTCTGGGGCTGGATTGACTCCCTGTGAGGGCCAGGTCAAACATCTGGGAAAGCTTAGCTTGGAGAAAAGGCAGGTGAGGGGAAACTTGGCAGAGCTGCACAAAATGATGCTAGAATATGTGGTGAATATGGACAGATAGACACTTTTCTCCATCTCCCGTGGCACCAGAACCGCAGGAAGATTAAGCACCGAGGAAAGCGCATCTTCCTTCACCCAGCGAAGGCATCGGCTGTGCAACCCACTTTCGCAGGAGGCCGTGACGGCTGCCCACCCGCAGGGCTGTCACAGGGGACTGACACGTTCCTGGAGGAGGAGGAGGCTTCCTGTGGCCACCAGTCCTCATGGCCCGATGCCACCTCCAGGATCAGCCACAATTTCTTAAAGCTTTTATAGACTGTCCCATTACTGGCGTCTCAGGACAGTTCACAACAAGCACAAATAAAATAAAAATGGCACAGCATCCAGTGACTAAATATTAAAACCACAATTAAAACCAATTAACAATTAAAATAATGGGGAAATAAAAAGGTGTGCCGATGTCTACCAGAAGTGGGGGAACATGGGTAGGAAGGTGCTATTGCCCTCATGCCATACTTGTGGGTTTTTTGGGGGCAGCTGGTTGGACCTTGCAGGAAGCAAAGCTGGGCTAGATGGACCCCCTGGTTGGATGGTCTATCCAGGCCCTTCTGAAGTTCTTATGTCCCCAAACAAACAGGAATAATATATATATATATATATATATATATATATATATATATTTAAAAAAACCTCTTTTGTTGAGGCGCATCTTTTGTTGGTGTGGACAGTCCAAAGCCTGAGCCCAGGTTCTCTTGGTTGCTTGGAGGGCGAGTAGGGAACTGCATCTGGTCTCAGAACGCCTAAGGCACAGTGCCGGCAAGACAAAGGGCCCTGGCAAGATGGAGCCACGCGATGCATCCCTCGCCCCCACCCCACCCTGGCTGACTCCTCCATGGGGCTGCCGGGTTGGTCCAAAATTACTCCTAGCCGGCCTGGCATTCCCTCTGCCCAACCGTCCGTGTGCTTGTTTTGAGGACAGCTTCTCAAGTGTTGGTGGAAAATAAAAGTCACCTCCCAGCTCTGGCTGGTGAGAACTTCAGCTTCGAGGAACAGAAGGGTGTTCCTGGAGAAGATGGGCTTCAGGGGAAATCCAGGCAGCTGGCAGAGGCCGCCCCAGGCAGAGCAAGGTGGGGAGGCTGAGCATTTGCAGCACTGGCTGGAGAGTTTCAAGCAGGGGCACTTTTGGCAGCCTCCAGCGCAAGGCTGAATCGTTCACACAGGAAAAGAGAGGCCACAGAATGGCAGCGGCTGCCGGTGAGGGTAGGTCCCAGCAGCCAAGGGTGAAGAGGGATGAACTGAATGAAGTCCACTTGCTGCTGCGCTCCCCTGTTAGCACAGGGGTGCTGGGCGGGGCAGCACCAGGGCAGAGGCCCTGGCAGCAGTTCAGCCTGCCCTGCCGGAATGCAATCTCGTGCCCTCAAAGAAGGGGCAGCACTCAGTACCAAAAAGGTCTGGCTTCAAGTCCCACAAGACAAAACGTGCACACACATTCTGGAGATTAAAAGCACCTAGAAGCAATGCAGTGACCACTAGAAAACAACACGGACTCCTGCCAGCCTAATCTGATTTCATTTTTTGATTGGATAACCTCCTTGATGAACTGTGGGAATGCTGCAGACATAATCTATCTTGACTTCAGCAAAACTTTTGACAAACTGCCCCACAATATCCTGATGAACAAACTGGCTCAAGGTGAGCTAGAAGGAACAATCATCAGGTGGATTCAACACCTGCCTATGGAATTGGACTCAAAGAGGGCTCATCAGCACCACTTTCCCAAACTGGGGAGAGGGAATAAGTGGGGTGCTGAAGGGTTCAGTCCTGCGCTCAGGGCTCCTCAACATTTCCATTAGTGACTTGGATGAGGAAGTGCAGGGAACACCTATCACACTTGCAGGACACAAAACTGGGTAGGAGAAGGTAACACCCTGGAAGACAGAGAGAAGATCCAGGGCGATCTCAAAAGGCTGGAGCGCTGGGCTGAAAGCAACAGAAGGAGATTCACTAGGGGCAACTGCCACGTTCTGCCCTTAGGCAAAAGAAACTGTGTGTGCACGTGACATGGAAGGGAGTTTTCTCCTAAGGGTGCCCCTTTCCATGAAAAGGGATGCATAACCAGGGCAGAAGAGGGCTCTTGCTTTCAGAGTAGCTGGATGGTGGGGCTGGTGGGCCACAGAAGATTCAGCACTTCAGGGGCCAGGGCCATCCCCTGACACATCCTCTTTCAAAGGAAGACTTAAACCAAAGTGTGACACAGAACAGAAGCCAGAAGCAGTGCAGTGGTTAAACTCATGGGACTGAAAAGCCAGGGGAAATTCTGGTGGGAACCTAACCACGTACTACATTCATCATCTAAGTCTCTCCCTCAGGCACCTCCTCCAAGAAAGTCCAGAAAGCGGCGAAGAGGGAGAGGGCCTTTCTGGTCATGGCCCCTAATTACAGAGTGATTTCCCTGATGGCATCAATGCTGCTCTCTTTTTGGCATCAGTTTAAGTTGTCTCCTACCCTCAGGCATCTGGCTTGAGATCGGAAGCCCTGAGCGAAAGGGAGGAACCAGATTTTCTTCCTGCTGCAAAACCTTCACATGGCTTCATCTTGCATCAAGTGAATGCAGTTTCAAAAATGTTCTGGATTTTTTCATAGTGTGGATTGTTTAGACAGGTGTTTAGACAGGTGCTGCTTGTTTATAGGCTTGCATAAGCCTGGCTTTTATTGTTTGTAATGTTTTTAAAGTTTATTGATCCTGCAAGCCATGCAGCCAAGCCAAGAGGAACGCACACAATCAACAGCCCTCTACCTGGAGCCCCAGAGACCACAACCAGGCAGCCTCTTTGG